CTCCAGTCTGGGTGACAGAGTGAGACTCCAACTCAAAAGAAAAAAAAAAAAAAAGAAATGATAGGTCAGGTGCAGTGGCTCATGCCTGTTGTAATCCTAGCATTTTGGGAGGCCGAGGCAGGAGGCTCACTTGAGGCTAGGAGTTTGAGACCAGTCTCATCTCTACAAAGAACAAAAATAGTAGCTGGGTGTGGTGGCATGTGCCTGTAGTCCCAGCTACTTGGGAGGCTGAGGTGGGAGGATTGCTTGAGCTTTGGGGGTGGAGGCTGCAGTGAGCCATGGTTGTGATCGTGCCACTGCACTATAGCCTGGGTGACAGAGTGAGAACCTGCCTCTCAAAAAAAAAAAAGTTGCTGTCAGCAGTTGTTTTGCCTAGTGCAGGTGGGTCCCTTCCCTGTTGCTCCTGCCTGAATAGATTCTCCGTCTTCTTACTGTCCTGGTGAACCTTTATATACTGATCACCCCCCAGAGGTACCCGTGGGGCTGTCCCCCGCCGTGGCCTTGTACACATGGGCTTCCGCTGTGCTGGTCACACAGTGGGGCAGTGGTTCTGTAGTGCCGGACCCCACAGACCTCAAAAGGGAGGGCGCTGTGTCTGAGGGGCTGAAGAAGTGACCTGGAGACATCCGGTGAGATGTGGGCTTTATTCGGGAACTTGCCGGCAGGGGAGGAGGTCCAGGAGCGGCCGCCGGGCAGGAAAAATCCACTCCTGACTGTGGAAGACGCGTGGGTTTTCCACGGCGTTGGGCCTAGGGTGGAGGACAGAGTTGGGCACCAGAAGGGTGGGTTTCAAGTGCTCAGGCCTGGTGTGAGAAGGCATGTACACAGACTCGCGTGTACACAGAACGACTGTGATTTCTCTTAGGGATGGGCTTTTTGGTATGAAAATGAACTACAGGTGTTTGAACCATCTCGAGGGCTTGCATGGACACTCACTGTGCACAGCTGTGAGAGGCGGTCGGCGGGTGCAGGGAACTTGAGCCCACGCCTCAGCGTGACCTGCAGCCCAGGCCACACTCCCCCTCAGTGACCGCCCCGGGACCCCTTCTCAGGCTCCAGCCCCTGCTTGGGGCCATATCCAGGGTGTGCTCCTGCTGTCCCTAGGTGTCACCCTAGGGATCCTAGGGCTGGGAGTGTGGCACCGAAGGACAGGGCACCCTTCACGTGGCGCCCGCAGGCCCGGCCACCCTCCGAAAAGGCGGTCCCACTCACGGCGCCCCAGCCTGGGGGACAGTGCCGTCGGAGTCGGGGTTCCCCGCCTGTGGCCTCTCCCTCGGCAGGGGCTGGTTTTCACAGGAAATGCACGATTCTGGCCAGAAAGGGAGAGGGAGCCTGTGCAAACAGTTCCACATGCAGGAATGCGGCTCCGGCTCTGCGGCCCCGCCCGGGCGGACCTCACGCTCCTGTCTGTGATTCCCTTTCAGAGAAGACCGGGAAGATCCTGACGGAGTTCCTGCGCTTCTACGAGGACCAGTATGGCGTGGCCCTCTTCAGCAGCATGCGCCACGAGATCGAGGGCACGGGGCTGCCACAGGCACAGCTGCTCTGGCGCAAAGTGAGTGGCGCTGGGGGGACCTGGCAGGCTCTGTCGCACGTCGCCACGTGGCCTTCGCTTCCCTGGGCCTCGGTTTCTCATTGTTGCCGCGGCGGTCTCTAGGGGACCCATCCACTTCCTTTTTTTTTTTGGAGTCAGGGTCTTGCTCTGTTACCCAGGCTGGAGAGCGGTGGCACCATCTTGGCTCACTGCAGCCTTGGCCTCCTGGGCTCAAGGGATCCTTCCTCCTCAGCCTCCTGAGAAGCTGGGACGACAGGTGCATGCCACCACGCCCAGATCATTTTTTTAGTACAAAGATGAGGTCTCGCTATGTTGCCCAGGCTGGTCTCAAACTCCTGGGCTCATGCAGTCCTCCCATCGCGGCATCACTGGTGTGCGCCACCGCACCCAGTTGTTGCTGTGATGGTCTCTAAGGGTCCCACCCCACTTCTTGTGTGGGTGGTAACCTCGGTCGTGTTGTCAAGTCTCCTTCATTCACCATGGATGACTCCCCCCAGTTCACTCCTTCACCGGCAGAGCAGGGGCTCTGGAGTCTTGACAGCCCTGGTTCGAGGCAAGTTCCTCCTAAAAGCCCAAGTTCACTCATCTGTCAAGTGGGATGAGAATACCTCCTTCAGCCAGGCACGTTGGCTCACAGCTGTAATCCCAGCACTTGGGAGGCAGAGGTGAGAGGATTGCCTGAGTTCAGGGGTTTGAGACCAGCCTGGGCAACATGGCGAGGCTGCATCTTTACAGTTAAAAAAAAAAACTAGCCGGGTATGGTGACATGTGCCTGTGGTTCCAGCTACTTGGAAGGCTGAGGCAGAAGGATCGTCTGGCCCAGCAGGTCAAGGCTGCGGTGGCTGTGAGTGTGCCATTGCATTCCATCCTGGGTGACAGAGTGAGACTCTGACTCCCCCCCCCCCAAAAAAAAGAGCATACCTCCTGCACAGGGTGGCTGTACCTGGTATAGGGAGGTGCTGTTACTGGCTGTGTCACTATCCCGCTATTAGTCATAGGAATCTGTGTGCCCAGGAAATATGTGCTGCATGAGGGAGTGGAAGCTGCCTGGCCCCAACCAGAGAGCCAGCATGGGCCCAAGGAGGCAAGCGGAGCCTTCTGGGGGGACCCTGGGATGGACCTGGGAATGGGGCTGGGGGCCGGATCGGTGCAGAGGAAGGGAAGGGGTGTCAGGAACACGGGCAGGGCTGGGTCCCAGAGAGTCCTGGGGCTGAGCAGACAGGCTGAGAGGCCTGCCCTTGCCCACCGGGGGCGCTACAGGGGCGCCGTGTCTGGCCAAGGCACCCCAGGTCCCAGGGCTGGGGTCGCTCCCCGTCAGTGGCCTTCACTCTGCCCCTGCGCGGCCAGGCCGGTGGCCAGGAAGGGGCCCGACCCTGCAGTGGCTGAGTGGCAGTCCTAGGGCCGCTTACTTCCTCCTGGAAACGGGGTGTGAGCCGGCCCAGCCGGGTGCTCAGTCGTCCGTGACTGAATTCCCGTGATCGATGGCAGAACTGCCCTTGTTTGCCCAGCCCCCTGCCCCCAGGCCCGATGGTTTCCCCAGGCCACTCGTGACATCCTGTGCCCAGGTGGTGAAATGTGAGGACCCCGTGGAAGGGGGAGGAGCCCTTCCCCCAGCACCTCGACCACCAGATGCTCTCGACCCCAGGGCCTGCTGGGAAAGAACCTAGATTCCAAGCTCTTGCCAGCTGGCGGCTTAGGCAGTTGCTTCAACCTCCGAGGCTTAGTCTCCCCATCTGACAGATGGGTCCCTCCTCCATAGGGCTCTGGCGAGAATTCAGGGGGAGAATAAACGGCTCTTGGGAAGGGGTAACTGATGGGGCTCCTGGGGGGAGTCGAATCCTGACTTGCCGGTAGCCTTGGACAGCGTCTGTCCCCTTGCTGAGCCTCGGTTACCCTGTCTGTAACATGACTTTCAGAGAGAAGAGTTGTCATGGGCCAGAGAAACCAGGACTGCCGTGTGGAGGCGTGGGGATTTCTTGGGGGCGCTGGGGAGCAGACGGGATTCGGATTCTTACTAGGCCCCTCAGGAAGGGGACAGGTGGGGGGCAGCAGGGGCAGCTGGGGTCCAGGTAAGGCTGCAAAGCCGAGAGAAGCCAGAGGAGGCCCCGGGCTGGGAGGTTGGGGTTTGCTTTACCCCCTCCAAACCAAGGGACTGAAAACGTGCCTGTCTGCTGTGGTGTCATCAGGGCAGGAGTGAGCACAGTGCTTTTCAGGGCTGGCTGTCACTTGACCTGGCTGGAGGATCTGTCCCCTTCGTGCCTTCCTGGCTGGAGGCGATGGCTCTGAGGGGCGGGGAGCTACTCACAGGCTGGAAGGAGACCTCCATTCCTTCATTCGCCATGGAGGACTCCCCCCATCCACTCCTTCACCGGCAGAACTGGAGCTCTGGAACCTTGACAGCTCTGGTTCAAGGCAAGCTCCTCCTCTAAGAGGAGGTCTTCCTGGAGGCAAACCTTTGCCAACTACCTCGGGCCGGGGGCTGGGCTGCACCGGCCTTGTGGCCCACAGATGCTCAGGGAGACAGATGGTAGCCAGCTGTGTACACAGGAAAGTGGGACGGCGGAGATGCCAGGTGAAACACAGGCAGTGCAGCCCTGATGCCGTCTGGGTGGCCCACCTGTGCTTCCGGGAAGAGGGACCATCTCGGTCCACGACCTAAGAGTGGAGGAAGAGAATGTCAGACAGAGGGAACGGCACGTGCAAAGGCCCAGGGCTGAGCCTCTAAATGACCTGTCTAGGATGGTGGAGGCCAGACCAGAGTCGGTCCCTGGTTGCTAGCGCGGGGCCCCTTCTGCCGTGGCACCCAGCACGCCCAGGCTGAGGGAGGCCAGTCCTGTGTGTCAGAGCCTCTCGGGGTGTCACGTGCTCCTTTGCTTTTGGACCCAGAGAAGGCATCTTTTCCCCTGGTGTCATGGACACCTCTTGACCCCATGATAGCCAAGGGGCCTGGTGTGACCTGGCCTGAGTGTCTGGACGGTGCACACCTGTGTGGTGAGAAAGGAGAAGCCTTGGCCGCAGCCTAGAGAGCAGGGCCAGCACCGCTCCCCTGTCTGGAAATAAATGTCACAGGCAGCCTGAGTCCCAGTAATTAATTCAAGATGGTGGGAGCCAGCTGACAGCATTTCTCTACTTGAGACCCCCATCAACATTCACAAGGGTGCCCTTTTTTTTTGAGTTGGAGTCTCACTCTATCGCCCAGACTGGAGTGCAGTGGCCGCTCTCGGCCACCGCAGCCTCGACCCGCTGGGCTC